AGCTGCTCGTGCTTATCACGTGTTCTTGTCTGTAACCTGTTTATGATCTTACGGCTTAGATTAATTTGCTTTAGGTAATGTCAGAAAACGGTTATTTGCTTGTATAAATAGCAGCGTAGGACCTTGTATTTCAGTAAGCTTCCGTATTGTAATTGTAAACATTTTCATCAATTGAAAATCATTTGAAGTTCTCTCTTRTGTTCATCAATCCTCATTGCTGTGTTCTTATTGATTTATACTCTGGTTGATACATATCTTTTCCGCTGCGTTATCTCTGTTAAACAGATCATCCAAGTAAGTAATTAATATCAAGAAATAGAGTTAATCGATCCAACAGAGGTGCTGAAATTTGAAGTCTTATTTCACTTCTGATTAACAAGAGGTGATTTTGAAGTCTGAAATCTGAATCAATAAGACTGTTTTGTAAACTGACAAACGTTTGAAGTCTGTAATCTGAATCAATAGATTGTTTTTGTAAAATCAAGTGTAAACATTTTGCAAAACTCTCTTGATTTTCATAAAATTTCCATTGTCGAAATTCATCTCAACAATTGCTTAACAGATTAAACACATTAAGAATCTTTTAGATACCTTGTAGACTTCTGATGCTATCGGGAATGTCGCCGGTGAGTTTGTTTGTGGAGAGATCGATACTTTTAAAAAAGGATAAATCCCCGATAGAAGTTCTTATTTCACATTAATCTTATAAGCTAACCTATACGTATAGGGAATATATATATATATATATATATAGAGAGAGAGAGAGAGAGAGAGAAAGAGAGAGAGAGAGAGAGAAGGTGGAGGCGTGCATTTCACATGGGTGATGAAACGACGGTGGTGTCCCTGGTAGAGAAAGAAGCAATAGCCAAATAAAATCACAGAAAAGGAGAAATAAGAGGAATTAAGATATTAGTTTACCTCTTATTTATTCAGACTCTATTAATTAATAAGAGGCTTTGAAAATAAAAATAAAAAAAAACAAACCGTTTGAATTACAAAACGTCTGAATGAATCAAACATAAGTGGTAGTTAAGAGTTGAAAATGAAACAATAAACAAGGCCTTATTCTTTTAATCTCAACCCTTAATCTGTCATCCTTTTAAGAAGATTTTTTTTAATAAAAGGGCAACTTTGTCTTTTTAGTTTTTTATTTATTAATAAAAAATAATAAAACTCCTAATTTGATGGAACGATTTCTATCTTGATTTAACTTTTTTAGTTTTTTAATTTTTTTTTAAATTAGGAAATGATTTGGAAGATGCACATTCAAAACAGTTTTAAATTTTTTTATTATTTCACAGTCTTTTTGATCAATCTGAGTTCTTTGTTCACCTGTGGCCACTTTGATTTTGGACGGTTTCATCATACATGAACAATTAGGATATGCATATGTGCATATATGAACAATCAACAGATGCTTATATGAACAATCAGAATATGCACATGTTCATGTATGAACAATCAGCAGATGCATAAATGTGTGTGTGTGTGTGTGTGTGCATATGCATATATGAACGACCAGAATATGTGCTTACAACTTCATATGTGACTTTTAACATTTTACGCTTACATGACAAATGGATGGCTTTTGTTAACTTCATATATGAAACAAATATATACTTCATCATGTCCATCTTACTTTGATATGTATACATGATCATATGCATTTTATTTTCATATGAAACATATGTATACTTGATCATGCATCCTGACTTAGGTTTTTTTTCTTTACCAAATGCTGATTTCATGGATTTATTCACTTCCCAAACTCTGATCTCATTAGGAGAATAAATTTCATGTTCCGTTTCCCTTCTGAAAGTTTTATTTTAGAGTTGTTTTCCATATACTGTTAAATATAAAAATCACAAAGCACATATTGCATCCCTTCCTCGTATTCTTTCATTGGGTTTTTGAATTGAAAGAAGATTTTGAAGTTACTAACTCCTACTATATAGTTTCTTATATAATGAATATGAAATTTTGAAACCCTGACTTTTTCGTCGAAAATTTTGAAAGTTTTCCGCATTTCTTCTTCGATATGTAGTCGATTTCACGGGTTTTTTTTGAAGTATATAATATTTATATACATCAAATGCAGCAAATAAACTTACACATCCGAGTTTTCTTGAAACCATCTTCAGTTTATTTCCATCATGGATTACAATCTCATTTGTGATTATACCAATGATATTTCATATGCATACTGTCACCCTTATGTAGATAAACATGAAAAATGTTGAAGATGAACAAGAATAATGTTGTAATTAAGATGAATCTCAATAAAAACTCGTTCAAAAACCTACATATATATGAACAAGAATAATGTTGAAGATAGAAGTTACAAATTAAACAAAAAATTAAGAAGTAATAGGACAATTATGGCACTTACAATATTATCCGAAATTAAATAATGTATTATTTAATAAAATTAATAAATCAAATTACAACATTACCCCTCCCTAATATTTTTAATTTAAAAAAAAATGATAACGATAAGGATAGATCAAGGATTGGGATTAAAAGTAGAAGAGTTGCATTAATTGCAACGATATGAAATGTTGCATTTAATTTGCTACTATTAACCAAATACATATAAAACAAATACAAAGTGAAATAAATATATATTAATCAGGGTTGGGTTCTAGTGAGAAGTATAGCCAATGTGAGATATGTAAGAAGAGATCTTCATTCTATGATGCACATTAGGATGAGATGCACTGGATTAATCTCGTTATCAAGAGCGATTCTTTGGTGGGTTTGAGATTAAAGGTGATCAAGGTTCAAATTCCTTTTTATGCTTCTTACCTTAACTTTCATTTGTCTGTTAAACAATACCTTAAATCCTAGTAATAGACGGAAAAAATAACATGAGTACAATAACTTAATAGTGTGTGTGTATATATATATATATATATATATATATATAATATGGAGAAAAATGTTTATTACGTACAGTACTTGTAATTGAATGCACCAAAACTACTACAAACTTGTGTAGTTGGGATTGGACTCCTAGAGATCTAGCCTATTGTGATTCACCATAATCGCCTGCCATTGTATATTTAAAGGGCACATAGCCTTCTCACACAGATAACACACACACATACAAATCAACTATTAGTGTTTGTATGTGTGAGAATACTAGACTCAGTCACTGGGCCAAATCTTGTTGCACTAAAATGGCAAGCTCAAAATCACTTGCTATGTTCTGCTTCTTACTTTTGACAATGTTCACAAACGTTGCTCTCAAAGCCCATGCTCGAGCATTCTTCGTGTTTGGAGACTCATTGGTTGATAACGGCAACAACAATTTCTTGGCCACAACTGCCCGCGCTGACAATACGCCTTATGGGATCGATTATCCCACTAAACGTCCCACTGGACGTTTCTCTAATGGACTTAATATCCCTGACCTTATCAGTTAAGTTTTTCTTTTTCCTTTTTCTTTGTTAACTATGGTATCCGGGTTGCGTTGCATGCACCTCGACTAATTCCAAAAAGAAAATCCACAGTGGGCCTGTTTTCTTATTTTTCGATTTCTAATTCCTTGTTAATCTGATTAAATACCAGGTGAGAGCATTGGTTCAGAATCAACTTTGCCATACTTGAGTCCAGCGCTTACGGGTCAAAAGTTACTCGTTGGTGCAAATTTTGCTTCTGCTGGTGTTGGAGTACTTAATGATACCGGAGTCCAGTTTGTAAGTTGATTGCTCTTCAAATTAGCACAAGTGTTGCTACCATTCGGTCACGTATCATATACGTAGCATTGGTGCAGAATCAACTTTGCCATACTTGACTCCAGCGCTTAGTGTTCAAATTTTTGTATATATTCTTCGGTCAATGTAGGGTTTCAGTCAAGCAATGCGAAAAAGACTAGTCGTCAAAATGGCACCTATATAAGTTAAAAGAGTCCATGCTTATAACAACCTCCGAAACAGGAGTAATTTGGACATAATATGGGTGTTGGACAACCCTCAAAACATGTAGACGTGGATGGAAATCAAGAAACATTTTCAGTTACTTGTATCCACACGTACATACCATATATATGAATAGTTATCAGGTGTTCCTTCGTTTTTCAATTTTTGAGGTTTTTTTTCGGGAAACTCACTCTATGAAGTGTCTCTCTCTCTCTCTCTATATATATATATATAGAGAGAGAGAGAGAGAGAGAGAGGAATTTCGGTAAAGTTTCTCAAAAAATCTTGAAAATGGTGTTTTACATACATGAAATATTATTTGGCGCAGGCAAACATCATAAGGATGCCATCGCAAATGGCTTACTTGGAGCAATATAAGCAAAGGGTGAGTGAAATAATCGGCCCTCAAGAGACAGAGAGGCTTATAACCCAATCTTTAACCCTCATGACATTGGGAGGAAATGATTTTGTTAACAACTACTATTTGGTCCCTTTCTCCGCAAGATCTCGACAGTTTGCATTGCCCGATTATGTCGTATACGTAGTCTCCGAATACCGCAAAATTTTAAAGGTTAGCTCACTGTTAAATTCGGTATAACTTAATACTTCTTTATTGTACTATACAACACTAATTAGTACAAGAAATCTTGTTCAATTTAGCAAACATAAGCTATCTTATTTTTTAAGTTTATTAAAAAAACATTTTTAGTTAGCTATAACATTCACAATGTCTCTCCTCTGTACGAATTGGGTTTTTTCAAACTACCATCAATTACATCAAAATTTTGTTCAAATTTGGTGCTACTTTTGTATGTGTACGTATTTATTTATGTGGAAATTGTGTATAAAGTAAATTATTTAAATATTTACTTTATTTGTGTTAAGGGGCTTTTTTTGATAATCCATGAAATTGTGATAAACTTGAAAACTTGTCCATCATGAGTTATTTCATATGACTTTTTTCCATCTAAGACTAATATTTAAAATATTGATTAACAGATATTTGTTTCACAATGTGTTTGTTTCACATGTACTTGGTTCACAATGTGAATATGTTTAACGTGTTTGTGAAACAAGAAGTAGACGTAAAATGATTTCTTATTGTGAACCGAATATATATGAAACAAACAAATCGTGAAACAATTTTATGTTAATCAATACATTAAATATTATACTTGGATAAAAAAATCATATGAAACAAAACTTTAATGTAGAAGTTTTCACGAATCTCATAAATTTTACAATGAAATAATTAAGCTCCATTTGTGTTATTTATAACAATTATATGATATATTAAATCATCAAACAATTTTAAGACAGCTTTCAATGTTAGTCGTACCAAATGCCAGCCATTTGTCCTGTGTCTTTTCTCTTTTTCTCATGGCCTATCTACATGCGTACCAAAGGCTACCTAACCTATCTTGTTTCAATAAATTCCGAAGAATTTTGTCCTTTTTTCGGTTATACCCTAATCATTTTTCAACATGTTCATATCTTAATCTTTTTTTTTTTTTTTGCATTTCCATTTCCATCTAAATTATCACTAAGTTTTTACTGTAAATTACTTGTTTATTAGCTGTATAATTAAGCAACCTTATGAGATCCTTGTTTGAACTACCATCAGACTGACAAAAACAAAATAGAAGTACAAGGGAGGTACAGAGAAATTTATTGATCTCTAAAGAGGGAAGGTGAAGTTAGCTGGATATATTGCAGGCATACTTATTACTAAAGATAGAAAGTAGGTTTTCTGTGTAGTAAAAGCATTGAATATGAAGTTGTTACTCGATAAAGATGGTACCTACGAGTTGTCTTTATCTGTTGGACTAATTTATTTTTTGGAATTATGTCCACCAAATATTAATAAAATCACGTGTCATGACAAATTCGTCGACTTCGACATAATCGTATTAACTTGGCATCAAGTTTAGTGACATTACTACTTGTTACAACGAATGGGTCTTTTTGGACACATATGGGTCCTAATCGAGTACTTAATAGGATTTTAAATTTATAGGACATAAATTGGCCTTTTATCTAAATACATTATATATAATAAGTTGTTGGCATGAGTTTATAGAACAAAGTGTTCTATCTTTTTACTGTTACAATAAGTTTATAGAACTCTTTTAGATGCCATAATAAAGTTTTTAGAATCTTTTTAAAGTAAATGGTCGTATTAGTTATTTTATTGAACACTATTTGAAAAAGTGTTTTATAGAAAGATGAGTTTATAAGACACTTCTCAAAAATGTCATATAAAATTACTAATACGACACTTTATGTTAATAGGTCCTAAAAAACTTGTTACAATGCTTAAGTCCGTCTAATAAACTTATTGTCACATTTTTAGAGGATGCACTTCATTCGTTGGTTCTATAAACTTAGGTCCTATAAATTAAAGCACTCTATTAGAACATTTAAATATTGTAGATGTCCTACAAATCCGATTTTATTGTAGTACTTTTTGATGCTATATATTTAACTTCCATTGGTACTCTATTCGGATACAAAAGTACGGGTCCTAAAAGACCAATTTTGTTGTCTCGCGTATTATATCAAATCATAGGTCTTGTTTATGTCTCGATATATCTTTAAACCTGCAACCATGGAGCATGCAAAAACTTGTAAATCAAATGGAGTTATTTTCATCATTGAGACCAATCTATTTTTGAATGCAGAGGCTTCACGAACTGGGGTTACGTAGGGTTCTGGTCACCGGCACGGGCCCTTTAGGTTGCGTGCCAGCCGAACTCGCGCAACACAGCAGGAATGGCGAATGCTGGCCAGATTTGCAAGCAGCATCGGGTTTGTTTAATCCTCAACTTCAAAATATGCTAGACAGTCTCAACAGAGAAGTCGGGAGTACTACCTTCATTGGAGTCAATATTCGTCAATCCAGCATCGACTTCATCTCCAACCCCGCAAAATATGGTATGTCTCCTAAATCAAGCAAACTACATTACAATAAAATGAGTCTTTTATGACACACATGGATTATGATATAAAAGTTGATAGAACTCGATATTAAATACTACACTCTTCTATAAACTTAAACTTTCATATTACATACTTATTTATTAGGGCACCCAGAGAGACGGTTGGACTTCCGAAAAACCCAATTTTGATGTAGCGCTAAGTATCGTAGTTGGAAAAGTTAACAACATCTTTGATATACATTCGTGTAGGATTTGTTACGTCCAAGGTAGCATGTTGTGGGCAAGGACCGTACAATGGAATCGGACTATGTACACCTGCATCGAACTTATGCCCCAATAGAGATATATACGCGTTTTGGGATCCTTTCCATCCATCAGAAAAAGCAAACCGAATCATCGTTCAACAAATTATAATGGGCTCGACCGAATACATGTCACCCATGAACCTTAGCACCATCATGGCTTTGGACGCTGCAGAAAACGTGTAGCAGCCCCACATCGAGGATCTCTTGATGAATTCAAGCTATGCATCTAAGTAATTTCATCATTCTTCATCCAAGATTTTGAATTTTAATGTTGGATTTTGAGTTTATAGGTTATTGTGTGTCGGATATTGTAGCATGCATCATGAATATTGTGGTATCTCGTTTAGTTCTCTTTTGAAGCGAATAAAAGTTTCATGCCCAAATCTTCTTTGACTTTAATCAAATTCAATACTAATTGCAACATGAACGTGACACTACAACGAAATAGGTTAATAAGACTACAAATTTTTTGGGCAAAAAGTTGACTTGGAATTTGTAGGATTAAAACCGGGCATCTATATAGAAACGTCCAAATAAAAGGTTAGGACGAAGTTAGACGACGTAACAAAATCTATCTACCAAGTTGGGTGATCTAATATAACACATAAAATGTCTTTTTATATCACATTTGAAAAGTGTCAGGCATATGAAAAAAGATTAATAAGGTAGTTTACAAAAATGTTTTATAAAAACGTTTATAGGATGATTTACATGATGTGTTTTATTAGTTTGTCCAACCGTTCTCAATAGAAACTTGTTAAGTCATCTAAGTTCAATCGGCCTAACAACTTATAGTTATATTTGTCGTTAGATAGGGTACCAATTCACACGTCTATAAACTTAAAGCCCAATTAACTATTCTATTACAGTTGGACCTCCTAAAACCCAATTTTGTTGTGTAAGTGACTAAACTCTACAAAAACTTAGCCATCATTTAATAGACGAAGAATCGTGTGAGAATAGGAGTTAAGGAGAAAAGTATAAAAAAGGATTTGGACCTTTGATCACTTTTAATCTCAAACCACCAATGAATTACGCTTTAGAAAGTATTGATCCATTATTTCTCATTAGTTTTGATCTAGTGGAACTCTTCAATTAAGATTGATTCAAAGATGAAGATCATTTCTCATCATAGCTCTCACCAATTCTCACCGGAACCTATCCTTTTTTTTATTTCGGATCTAGATTGAGATGACTATTCAATAGTTGAAAATTACATCCAACAATAGTGAAAGAGATGATATATAGTACCTATGAACTGTTTTCAAATTCTTGCCCATAATTTCTGTTGTAAAAATGTACATGCATTTTCTCATATATGGTAATTCTGGTATTTGTCTTCAATGCAATTCCTTGTGTTCCCACTATTTTTGTTGTGAACTTAAAATTAGAGTCTGTTTGTTAGTAGCTTAATATGCTTAATTAATGAGACTCGTAATTTATTCGGTCACCTATACATGGTTGTTTGGTAGTGAATTAATAATATAGAAAGTGACTTATTCAGTAAGCTTCTAAAATGAAGTTTTATACAGAAAGTCATGTTTTTTTCAAACATACTACTCTCAATTAAAAAAACCCATATCTTCTGCCTATGAAAAAACTCTTCCAAACAAAAATATTCTCAATCCATACAGACAAATTAATCTATACAGATAGCTTTATCTATACAGATAGTTTTATCTATACTAAACTTAATGGAGTACCAACCAAAAGCCCCTTAGTATATATGTATATTTGAAACATCTATCCCAATTCTTGTTATTACAAAGTTTTCTTTTACATATATATATATATATATATATATATATATATATATATATATAGGAAGAGATATTTTGCAAACCAAGTCATTTGTACAAACTGTGAAACTGTCCATTTCATCGTTTATACTACTAAAAAAATTTCATGAAATTCTTTAATATGATTAAGTTATTTCAAATAATTATGGAAACTATCATCTTCATTCTATTAATTTTAAGCAAACAAACTTTATCAAATGAGAAATACTTGAACAACTTAATTTTTACATAGAAACAAAAATGTATGAAACATAATTATTTGAAACAATTTCATCATATAAAACAATTTAATGAAAATGTTCACTAAAATAAACAACGAAATCGACAGTTTTCATGGTTTGTACAAATAACTTAGTTTGCATTTTATCTCTCCGCTATATGTATATGTGTATGTGTATGTGTATGTGTATGTGTATGTGTATGTGTATGTGTACGTGTATGTAGACTTGAGATCATGTGAGACCAACGATTTTTCGTGAGACCTGTAAGACCAATTCTCAACCCTTAGATTAGATCTACAATCGTCAGATCTGAACATTCATAAACGCCACGAGACTTCTCAATAATTACAAAATTGCCACCGTACAATTTTAGACCATTAGATCATTAACTTATAAAGTTGATCAATGAATATAAATTGGTCTTATGGGTCTTACGAAAAACTTTGGGTTTCACGTGAACCCAACCCTGTATATGTATATGTAGATGTATATGTATATGTATATGTATATGTATATGTATATGTATATGTATATGTATATGTCAGTAAGTGAGACTCCAAAGTGTTCCTATACAAATTTGTCCGAGAAAGCATCGATCATTTGGGTGGTTGGGATATAACTGTTGGTCTGAAATTTCTGTATGTCACACCAGCTGTTTCTGCTCTGGTTGTCTCCCAGGGCAAGAAAACAACCCATAAATGAGACGCAAAATCTGCTCAACGGGTATGAGGGCCCTCCCCAAGGCCATTATTCAACAGGGAGAATATATATATATATATATATATATATATATATATATATATATATATA